TATATATGCAGCACATGCATGCAATGCCTGTGGATGAGTTAAGGACAACTGTGAGCAGAAATATGAGTGATGGGAACTGATCTCTAGTCCTCTGAAGGAGCAGACAGTGCTTGTAATTGCTGGCCATTCCTCCAGCCCATTTCTCAATTTCTATGACAAATATTTGAGTAGTTTCCTTTCCCCATTCCTTCCTGTTATCATTCATCCATTAGCTCTGAAAGTATACCTTTGCCTTCTCAATCAAGATGTGCCATTCCTAACGGAATTTCATTCAATATTATTTTTTTATTAATTGACTTTGACCTTTGACAGTTTCACACACAGATAATGCATTCTGATTACTCACACAGACATTCTCTCTTATCTCCCTTCTGCTCTTGTCAATACTCCTTCCTCCCTACAAATTTCTTTCACACATTAACTGTCATTTTTAACAATAATAATTATGTGAAATGTGAATGTACTTATAGCTCAGAATGCTAAGACGCTAAGATGTTCTATTAGAAACCATGAGTCCTAGACTGACTGGGGAGAGTCTATGTCCTCCTGTACTTAGCAAATAATGGGAGGTAGATGGTTCATGGCTCCATGTTGGCTCTTTGAGGACTCTCACACAAAGCTGCCAAGGACGTGGTTAGGTGGGATATTATAAGGTCTTCCATTACTTAAATACAATTTTTCCTTATCAGAAACTATGTATCTGCATCATGACAAAAGCTTAATAGCCTTTTTTGTAAAATTATCTAAATTAGTCTAACTGAAGTATATTTAAATAACACAGATATTCTGGGTGTGGTACAGACCCTTAATCACAGTACTTGTGAGGCAGAAGCAGACAGTTCTCTGTGAGATCAAGGCCAGCCTAGTCTATTGAGTTCCAGGCCAGCTAGGGCTACAGGGTGACTCTGATTCAAACCAAAAAACAGACAAACAAACAAACAAAACCCAAATTAGAGCAGTTCTTTCTAAAGACTAATTTCATTCAACTTGTAGACTGCAAAATATCACCAAATGGCAATACAGATTCAACCAATTACATTTTAGTCTTCTCTGTCAGATCAAAACTTTCTTGTACTCTTTGTGGCATTCAATTATTCTGAGCTAAAGCATAGACTTAGCTGACTATTCATATAACTGACTTAAAGTCAAATACAAGTTCTTATGGCAGTGTGAATAAATGATGGAAAAATCAAAAGTTCTTGCAGCTGAGCACTGCAGAAGGAGAAATATTGTACTTTGGACTCACATCCTTTAATTCAAATTTAATTTCTGAACTATGGTCAAGAATTAAGGCGTTTTGATATCAGTTCTGATTTGCCACTAAAAAGTGCTGTGACTCAATTCTACTTGTTTCAGTCACTGTTTCTGCACTGGTTTAGGAAAAAACAACAGTGAAATGTATTGTTTCTGGGTTCTTCAGTGCTGTATTTGTAGAGTCCTATGAATGCATGGGATTTACTAGTTGAAATAAGACTAAACTTTTAGGCAGGTGACTATTCATACATGTTTTATTCATATGTGTTTAGCAGGAGCTTTTCCTCACATTGTTTAATGGTATGCATGAAGCAGTTGTCTCTATAGTAGACATGACACTTCTGAAATTCATTGAAATCAGTTTGTGGTTATTTCAAAATTTATATATCATCAGTGAATGACAAAAATGTGGTTCTCAGGTGACTTTAAAAATACACTGTTTTTTACCCTTTAAAGCACTGTAGTTTACTCAGTCAATTTTATTTCTTACAGGGTTTATACTGAGTTCAATATTGTATGACTGAATTAATTCAACTGGAACGTGTTACTGAATATGTTAAAGCTGTAATGAAATGCTTCTTCCAATCAATCATGTGGTTATTAAATTTAAAAAAATTTAAAATGCAATGTATTAAGACTTACATCATAGTTGATTGCCATTTTTTAAATAGTAGCAATTTAGCAAATAATTATGATTCAACGTATGTAAGTTCTTGGCAGAATAAAGACAGCTCACTTGGCTTAAGAGAGAATCCGCATGTGTGCAATCTCCAAACAAAAGGTGCTGTTAGAAGGCAGATGCCACCTCATGAGAAACAATTTGAATAGTTGAAGCTATAGGATTTTGTTTATGGCGTTTGGAACTCAGAAACTCAAGCAAGCATGGAGACTATAAACATCACAGCATTTTATTAGAGGCAAAATACTTTCCAGGCATCCAAATAAAGCAAAACATCAAACATGCTGAATAACCTTTAAGTAACTAGTCATATGAACAAGTAGAAGATGTGGTTGAGTTCTCAGACAAGATAGTTGGCATAGTTTTTGTTCTCTTCTAATGAACGGCATCTAGAGGTGTGGCTTCTCCAAGTATATATAAATGTCTTCATTTGGCCACATTCACAAAACTGCACTGCATTTACAAACCAAACCCTCACCAGCCTGACACCATGAGCTACTATGGCAGCTACTACGGAGGCGTAGGCTACGGCTACGGAGGCTTCGGGGGCCTGGGCTATGGCTATGGCTGTGGATGTGGCAGCATCCGGAGACTGGGCTGTGGCCATGGACTTGGAGGCTATGGATACGGCTCTGGCTTTGGGGGCTACGGCTATGGCTCAGGCTATGGAAACTATGGCTATGGCTGCTGGCGCCCTTCATGCTGTGGAGGATATGGGTTCTCCAGCTACTACTGAATAAATGCTTGAAAAATTTATAATCTGTGAAATAGCCTTCTGTGATCCCTTGATTCTTCTAAGAAGCTTTATTGCGTGACCTTCATACTTTATTTATTGTGTTGATAATTTAGCTGCCTTTTGGGGCATCTGGTTTCTGACAATAATAGGAAGAAAACTAGATGGAGTGCATATTGTTATTGATAGTTGATCCTCAGGGATCCACTTCTGCAGTGCTTCGAATGTCATTGCATTCCTGTAAACTTTTGTCTTTCTGTGTCTGAAATCTAATTATAAACTTTTTCTGACACTTCATTTTTCTTGAGCTCTAATTCTTTTGTACCAGCAAATTGGCTGTGATGTGTTATTATGATAACGAGCTCTGAAGCTTTCTTCTTTTATGTAAAAATTCAACAAAAGGTTAAGTTTATCACGATAATTCTGCCTTTTTCTTCTCTTTCTCCCACAACTCTCTTGTCTCTGTTTCCACAGCATCTTTTCTTTATTCCCTCCTGCTTATCCTTCATCTATCTCCTCTCCATCATTCCTATCAATATATATATATATATGAACACATATATACACATACACACAAGACACTTCCTTTTTCTTTTAAATATGGTAACTGTCTAAGGGTTCAAGAAACTTCTATTGAAAGAATCCAATTTAGCTTTATTTTTAAATGGACTATAAATCATTAAGTTAGGAGATGGCCATATAAAGTTACCGTACTGTTTATTTTCTTGAATGCTTAAAATATTTCAAATAGACAGAGAAAAATTCAAAATAAAAAAATTCTAAACAAAAGTGAAAAAGTATTTATTCTCATACACGAGTATACTTAGTGAAGTTTACTACATGAACCAAAATAAAATGATTTGAATAGTTTTGTCACTCCTACAGAAACTGAATCTCTCACTAATTTTCCAAATATATAAGCTTAATGCTGAATTGTTTCATAGGTCAATTCCAATAGTTTGCTTTTCAGAGATAAATAAGAGGGAATATTTCTATATTTGTTTATAGGGTGACAAAATATCAGTATAAAATATTGTAACTTCATTTGCAGAGAAAATTAAAAGCTAATATACTTCATTAACTTTCTTAAGAATATTTTAATATATTTATCCTATAGTATGTCCAAAACTCCTCGGCTAGGTGTGGGACTTCTTGCTCACCTGTCCCTCTTCCAGCTCAGATTTGTCTGTCTTGAGTTTGCAAAGGTTTATTCCCAAGTATTTTATTTTTAATAGGATTGTTTCTCAGATTTCTTTTTCAGAAAGTTTGTCATTGTTATATAGGAAAGCCACCCTTTTCTTTCCCTCTTCCTCCTCCTCCTC